CAACGTTCACTTCTCTGTACTACCAAGCGAGAAGTGGTCGTCGCATGACGCGTTTTGTGGGCCCAGCGAACTTGGTGGATGGATGTGGCACCAGTGGGCAGGCCCGTGGTCTGCTGTGAGGTACGCGATGTGTGTTTGGATACATAGCATGACCCACCCGATGTTGCACCGGCCAACCCATATAGTATCATGTGGGGCACATAAGGCTGCCAAGCCTGTATAGCACAACCCAGTTCACATAGCATGTGACCCGCCTGAAAAAAAAAAAAAAACACCCCTGTTACACAACCGCTTGCTCTCACGTCCGCATGCCCGGGGAAGTCTGGTCCCACTCTAAACCGGCGGCGGGTTGACTTGTACCATCCCTATTTCAGTGCACCGGTATGCTGAAACTGCTTGCTTCCCGCTCAGTGAGGTGCCTCCCTCTGCATGCAGTCTAAGACCTACTTCCCTTTTTGCAAGCAACGTTTTAGGCAATGCTGTCTTTTGATCTGTCTCCCAGTGCGCCGGTGTTGCTGCCATTCATTTCTGAGAAGGCAGCATAATATCTATCGGAAGGAAGTGGAAACCATCGAGGTCTGTGACAGGGGATTCAGTGTCTTGGCTCGTTTTGACATTTTTTGTTGTTCTGTGGTTGGTCGTCTTGTGTCTTGAAGTGGTCATCCGGTCTCACTCATCATCTCTGACAGACTTTGAGAAGAGTGAGATATCAAGGTACCATCACGTCTACTACTTCGCTCCAAAAGCGGACAAGTTTCGGCCTTGTCCAATGCCTGGTGTGTCCAACTTCGGTAAGTTTCTCTGACCCATGCCGTCTGTTTGACGTGGTGGAATAATTGTTTTTCACTCGATTTGCTACTCTCAGAATGTGGAGGTTGTGGATTGTGCTTGTGTATCTTTCTGTAATTTTGCTGTGCATGGCGCTGGCTGGCTGAATGTGCTGTCGAGCTGCGTGCTTGACTCGTTAGCACCATGCATTTCGGATCGCGAAGAAGTCAGTGAGCACTTGGAATGAAGTTGGGTGGATTACTGATTGCTTGTCTGGCTGTGTGTTCAATCGGTGCAGGGTTTGATGACATGCATGGTGATTACCGCGTCGTGGTTGGTGACCATCTTGCGTATCGGTACGAAGTGTTGTCAGTGCTTGGAAATGGAAGTTTTGGACAAGTCCTGAAGTGTGCTGACCATAAAACAAATAGCATTCGTGCTGTTAAGGTTATCCGAAACAAGAAGCGGTTCCATCATCAGGCATTGGTCGAGGTCAGGATTCTCGACCATCTCAGAAGAAAGGTGAGGAGACCAAGAGTGAGGTGTGTGTGTGTGTGTGTGTGTGTGTGTGTGTGTGTGTGTGAGAGAGAGAGAGAGAGAGAGGGTTGAGGGTTAAACATGTCTTTAAAGGGTTATTGGCAACAACATGTGAATGTGGCTTGCAGTGTGTCACTTTGCCGTGTGGATGAGCTTGGTGATGTCAGGTGTTTCCTCCTGTCGGTGTGTGCTAAGCAGCAGTGACTTGAGATCGAGAGGAAGTAATGTGTCTTGAGGAGAGAGGGATGGGAGATGGGAAGAGGTCGCTCCTTCGTTTCCGGGTATCCGATGGGTTGTGTACGTTTTCTTGATATTTGAATGCGAACTAGGGAGTTATGCATTGTGTTTGCAAGTGCCAGTGGACAGCTTGACACGCGTGTTGCTCCTGTGAATGGATGAGGAGGACGCGGGGATAGGAGTGCAGTGCAGTAGTTCACAGCTAAGGAGTCTGCCTGGTGAGGTTGTGTTTGCAAGATGCTTTGAATCGGGATTAAATCCGTCTTGCAAAATGTTAGTAGAAGTTGTAGAACAGGTTGAGACTTATGAGTGCTCATTGTTTCTAGGGGACTATTGGGGGGGGGGGAGCCTAAAGGGGGTGCTCCCAACTCCAGCGGCATTGTAGGTATGGGTGAGTCTGACCCATACCTAATACCTATGTGGCCGCACAAATGTTTTGTCTTGTTCATTCGTCTTTGTGAAACCGACAGCATATCTTTTTAGGTTGGGAGAATCAGCCAATGTACGGTCATATAGTTCGAGGCAGAGCATCTTTTAGTGTGTGTTCATTCTTGGAGACGTTTTGCATGCAGTTTGATTCTAATTAGATCCTCGCCCGTCTTGGGGCACCTTCTGTTAAGAGTGCTATAGATCTGGAGACGCAATGTAAGATGGCTATCGCTTGTGGCTGTCAGAGTTGCATGTTTAGTGTCGTTCGGTACTGTGGTGCTGGAACTGCTGGAGGTGTGGCATGCACAGGGATAGTACTGTGGTCAGTCTGTGTGGCCGCGGGTTAGAACTCGTGATGATCCCGGTAAAGGATCAGAAATGGAAAACACAGAGCTTCTCAGGCAGATCGAATAAACCAGCGAAAACTCTAACAGGGACCCAATCTACCTCGGTGGTTAACTCATCTGTCTGTGAGCGCTTTGAGATCTCTACCTGTGTTCAACCCGCAGGTCCGACAACTCAACTGTGTCTGTCTGGGCGTTTGCGTGGGTGATGTTATGTGGGTTTGTCAGGTGTCAGATGCATGCTGGGTCGGTGTGGGTGTTGTGTATTGTGTGGGCGCAGCTCCTTGTTGCCGTCTTTCTTCCCAGTCATCTGTTTTCTTTGGCTTGGACGTGGCACCGCAACGTAGACACACGACAGCCAATGTCTGTCTGTCAGTGCGTGCTTGAAGATCTCTACCTGTGTGTAGACCACAGGGCCAACGACTTAACTGTGTGTGTGTTTTGGGTGTTTTCATGGACGATGTTGTGTGGGTGTGGCGGGTGTCAGATGTTGCATGCTGGCATTGGTGTTGTGTCTTGTGTGGGTATGGATCTGGGGTGTTGTATGTTGATGTTGTTTTGATTCATACCTGAAGTCAAAAGAAAAGAGAAATGAAAAAATAACTTTATAAAAGATAACAATAATAATGGGCAATTGTTGCGAAACAAAACGAAGCACAGCAATGATTGTTGCGAGATGTTTGTGATCCGCGCAATTGATTGTTGTTCCTGTGGGAAAGAAACGGAGGATTGACTGGCCGCATGGATTCCACAAAAAAAAGGAGGGGGATTAGACTGGTACCTGGTCTTCAGGGAAACCGAGCCTGTCCAATGGGTCTTCAGGAAAGCAGGGCATGCATCACGTGAACGGGGAACCTTCTACTTGTGCCTAGCGCACTGCATTGGATGCAGTTTTCTTTTGCTTGTATAGTGTACTGGATAGAATCACTGGCATCAGTGACATGGTCATTATTTGCAGCCCAATCGACCCCTGAATTCGGTTTCTTGGATCTGCTGATCTTGTGAAGGCTGGCTTTTGTCGGTTGGGTTGGGTTTAGCTTGCCATGCAATCTCATCTTATGTGCCTGCATGACTGGAATCCGTCCATTTTTAAATTGTGTTACAGCATGCGTGCGGCTGTGTATGTGATTCCGGGTGTGTTTCTGTGCATGTTTGCATGTGAAAACTCCAGGATGACTGGAGAAGTGTGGTGGTAAGGAGGTGAGGAAAATGTGGGAGGGAGCAGACGAGCTGCCCACGAGTCAGGCGAGTACTGGGTGTGTGTGGTGTATCAATTAGAGTACCTTTTTGGTTCTAATGGACATCTGTGTAATTGGAGGTTTGTGCTCTATGTGGAGGATATTCTCCGTCAGTATGCATGTGCTTATAGTGAGTGCACGATGTTGTTTGTGTGCGTGTGTGTGTGTGTGTGCGTGTGTGCGGTTGTGTGTGTGTGTGTGTGTGTGTGTGTGTGTGTGAGAGAGAGAGAGAGAGAGAGAGAGAGAGAGAGAGAGAGAGAGAGAGAGAGAGAGAGNGAGAGAGAGAGAGAGAGAGAGAGAGAGAGAGAGAGAGAGAGAGAGAGAGAGAGAGAGAGAGAGAGAGAGAGGATGTGCGTTGCACCTGGCCTAACTGATGTGTGTTTTGGTGTGTGTGTGTGTGTGGATGTGCCTGTGCTTTGCTGTATTCGGTGTTGGTGATGGGGCTGGCTTGTGTGGGCAGCAACTGGAGGAGCCAGAGCGGTGCAACATTGTGCACATGTATGACAGCTTTTACTTCCGTGGCCATCTTTGCATATCGTTCGAGCTGCATTCCCTAAGCTTGTATGATTACATGAAGAAGAACAATTTCCAGGGCCTTAGCCTGAGCGTGATCAGGCGCATCGCAGTTCAGCTGCTGAAGTCGCTGAAATTTCTGCGGAAGCTGGGGATAATCCACTGCGACTTGAAGCCAGAAAATGTTCTCCTTAAAAGTCCAACGAAGTCCACCATCAAGCTCATTGATTTTGGCAGCAGCTGCTTCGAGGAAGAGAGAGGTGGGGAGCTATTGCAAGCCATGCAGGAAACTGACCCATTTCAGATGGACAGCCCGTTTTGAGGTGATGCTTGTCCAATGCGTTGTGACACATGTCGTCAAAACACTAGAAGAATTTAGTTGCACTCATCTAGTATCTCAACAACCTTGACAATCTTCCGTCCGCACTATATGTACGTTACAATAAGATAGCGTCCGCTGATTGTTATGGTTTTTTTTTTTTTCTTTCTTTATTTTTCCTCCTTTGTGTTTGTGATATCATCTTTAGTCGTTGAAAATGCCGCGGTTGTCGTTGAAAATGCCGCGGTTTTTTGCATTGCGATAGTGGTGCCTGCTCCTTCGCATGCTCTTGTGTGTGTGTTGGGGAGGGGGTGGAGGTGTGGGTGTGCATGTGTGTGTGCATATGTGTGGCGGGCGTGTGGGGGTGGAGGTGTGGGTGTGCATGTGTGTGTGCATATGTGTGGCGGGCGTGTGGGGGTGGAGGTGTCGGTGTGCATGTGTGTGGGTTGCGGTGGGGTGCTCGGCTTTGGAAATCTTGACATCTGAGGACTACTGAAACTTGGTTGCTGTCTGGCAGAGTAGATTTTGGAACAAGGGCCTTCTTTCTCTGTGCCTAATGCTCTCCATCGTTAGCAGCGAAGTCTTTTCCATATCTGTGTGTGCATGTGATGGAGGAGGGCATCGACCTGTATATTTCGGGATCTATGGGTAGAGTATTGGATACCCTTCATGTGATATAGCATCGAACTTAACAGATTTGGTTGCACTGACATGAAGAGTGTGGGTTACAGGACGTGATTAATTATGTTTACATTTGAAGTCATGGGAAGTCGTGGGATGGGATGAAAACAATCGTGAAAATATTCTTTATGCGTTGAATGATGGCAATGACATTTTTTTTCTGGCGCCTTCATTTCAGGAGGCCCTGCAACCTAGTGTTAGTGAGAATGTCCACTGCAGCCAAGACCAGCTCGTGACACCCCAGTCCATTTCGGGGTCTTGTCTTGGGTTCGGCGACCCTACGAGTCTGCTTGGAAAATACTGACAGGGGCTATGGTGGTGTGGTTTCGTGGTTTCGTGTTCTTGCAGTGTTCACTTATGTCCAGAGCCGCTTCTACCGCTCGCCGGAGGTCATCCTTGGTATGTCTTTTACCTTGTGTCCCTCTATAAGACCCTGCACCCGACCCGCTGAGCTCATGTCTTGCCTGTCAGATCATTGTAACAGGAATGCACACCAGCATACATAAAGCAGTGTGTGTGTGTGTGTGTGTGTGTGTGTGTGTGTGTGTGAGAGAGAGAGAGAGAGAGAGAGAGAGAGAGAGAGAGAGGTGTGTGTGTGTGTGTGTGTGTGAGNAGAGGTGTGTGTGTGTGTGTGTGTGTGTGTGTGTGTGTGTGTGAGAGAGAGAGAGAGAGAGAGAGAGAGAGAGAGAGTTGCTGTGATGTTGGATGTACTCATCTGGGTGGAACAGGGGATGTTGTGGTGAAAATTCGTAACACACCCACAAAGAGAGAGAGAGAGAGAGAGAGAGAGAGAGAGAGAGAGAGAGCAGGTGAGGGAACAGAGCATGGAGAGCTCAAAGAGCGTGCGTATAAATCAGGAAGCTGTTGTTCTCCTTGTTCTCCTCCCAAGTCAGTACTGAGGAGGGGGTAGCTGTTCATGTATTCACAAATTTCACTGATTATGTGTCTTTTTTTTTTTCATTTTTTTTTTTTTCATGTTGATCGAGCATGCAAGCTGTGTGTTTTGCGGTATGTTATAATTCCCTCTGAATGTTTTCCCATTCTAAAGAGGAATATTTTTGTACACGGTTTTGTTTTTCAGGAAAGCAAAGAACTAAGTGGGAAAATAATAACTGCACCAGTGTTATTTTATTTCTAGTGTAGTGAAGGCTCAGATGGAGGGGTTGAGGCATCCTCAAGGTCACGGAGTGAGTTGGATTTGATCATTTTGATTGTGATTCGGGTGAACTCACAAAGGGCTCTCCTTGTATGTGCCTGCTTGCAAACAAATGCAGGTTTACCATATGATACAATGATCGACATGTGGAGCTTGGGATGCCTGTTGGCTGAATTGTACACAGGTATGGGGATTTCTTTCGATAATTTTTTACTCGTTTTTCTGTTTGAATTTTGAATCATCAACACAGCTGGCCTCTTGTCTGCCATGCTCTCCTTTTTTTTTTTCTTTTTTTTTTTCCCCGGACCGTTTCTCGATTTATCCGTGTCATCCTTGAGCAGGGGCCATTCTAATCTTTTCTGTATCATTCCAGTTTAAAATTTTAATGGGATTTTTTTTTATTTTAAACGGAGCCTTATGGCTCCAGCTTCATATCCATTCTGAGGAGCGTCAGTCCGGTTCCAATTCCCCCGACAAATCAGATACAAAGTGCAAGACACTCCACACTCCACACTTCTCCCTTTTATGGTATAGAGAGTGTTTATTATTTTTTGTGTATCTTGTTTGTAACTTTGTAGGCGATGATGTATCACCATGATTGCAGGTTATCTTGTTGCATTGAGCTTTCACAGGTATGAAATTATGAATGCAGCTGCTGTTGGGTATCTGCATTTTGTCGTGTTAGAGAAGGATCGACTGTCGGAAAAGCCTTTCTTGAGTTTCCTCATGTTTTTAAGTTGCTCTTATTCCAGGGCGGGTTCAAATCTGCCCATGGTGAAGTGTTTTGCACTGCAGTGAAGATACACCCATGTTTATTTAAGAAATCAAAACCCGTTTAACTGTGGGGTGAAGATTGCCAGATATTGAAGGGAAAAGAAAAGCAGAATCCAAATCCAATGCGGTTGTACGTCGTTGTTTTTGTTTTTTAAACTTTTTTTGAATTTTTTCCTTTTTAAAAAGTGAAACGGTCGTGGGATTTCATGAATGAACTGACCAACCGGAGGTAACTGAGTATGATTTTATTCTGTTCATGTGATTGCATCTGGACTCTTTTAAGTTACTTGGAGTGAGGAGTGATTTCAAGAGGTCATGGTTGCACTAACTGGGCAAGGCCCGTTGGTGACATGGTTGTAGTTCTTTTCTCTTTCTCCTTCCCTTCCCCCCCTCCCCCTCCCCCTCCCCCTCCCCTTTGGTGGTTCTGAAAGTCGGACTAGCCTCCTCACAGTTATCCCTCAGATTCCTGAACCTACCGGCTTTTGGATTGTCGATGGCTTTGTAGGCAATCCATTGTTCCCAGGCGGAAATGAGACGGATCAACTTGGCCGCATGATGGAGGTCTTTGGGCTCCCGCCGTCGCATCTGCTCGAGGCGTCGACTCGCAAAAACTTGTTTTTTGGTATGTCGCCCGTCTCCTTCATCCTATTATGATGACATTCACCTTTTCATTGTAACCTGTCATACGTACTAGCCTGTGACGTCGACCCGGTCAAATGGACTGTGTTGTTGGGTGGACCATGAGTCACTGTGGCGCAGATATTTCTGAAGAGCCTGACGTCAGGACTGGATATTTCTGAAGAGCCTGGAGATTTTTGTTTCAGGCTAGAAGTTGGCTAGAACTCTTCGGAACGATTTAAAATGAAACCTGGAACGATTTAAAAATAATTAAAATGTAATCTGGAATGATTGTTTCTATCTACTGTAACTCCTACATTGTGGATCGGGTTGTAAAAGAGGCTGGCTCCCAACTGGGCCCACAGTGTCCCAGTGGTGTCCCGATTCCTCTGGCTGCCAGTTTTGTTTTCTTTGCACGGGGTTCAATTTCTTTTGTTCGAAAGAGGAGGGAGGGGGGGGGGGGGGCGCTCGATTCTGTGCATGGCGAAGTGCCGTTTTCGCTGTTTAGTTTTCCGGATGGCAGGTCCCCACAGATGTTCGAATACAANTGCCGTTTTCGCTGTTGAGCACCAGGTTATACACTCCTTTGATATCATTCCAGGCATCTTCTTTCACACCATATTTTGCTCCCTGTATCCAGTTGCTGTCTCTTATACACATCTAGATGTGTATAAGAGACAGGCTCGATTCTGTGCATGGCGAAGTGCCGTTTTCGCTGTTTAGTTTTCCGGATGGCAGGTCCCCACAGATGTTCGAATACAAGGATGTAGTCACATAGGCATTCGACGCACAGGGGGCCATGATGAGAAAATGCATGTAAGATGAATCGGTTCCGTCCTGAGCGGGATTTGTTTTTCAGGCGGGTCCTAATGTATGTAATAGCAATCATGCCCAGAGTGGGCGGGATGTCTAAGATGAATTGCATCCAGAATGGCCGACATGCAGGGGGCCCTAATGTGTCGAACAGCAATCAAGTCCAGAGCAGGATGTTTTTTCTTCGCTGGGTTGTTTTGAATGGTCGTGCGGTTTCAGACTCGCGGCGTCAGGATTCCTCTGGCTGGCAGTTTTGTTTTTGGCTCGTGGTGTCTGGATTCCTCTGGCTGGCAGTTCTGTTTTTTTTTCTTTCTAAGTTAAACGGGTTTCGATTTCTTTCATTTGAGAGAGAGAGGGGGGGGTTCAAATCTGCCCAGGGCGAAGTGTTTGGCACGCCTCTTATTTTTTTTCCGGGCCGTAGGCGGGAGGGGTTCCAATCTGCCCAGGGCGAAGTGCCGATTTTGCACGGTGCTCAGCTTTCAGCAGCACGGGCTCTCGCAGATGGTAGAGTACAAGTGCATAGCAGTCCGATGAGCAGGGCCATGCATGAGAAAATGCATGTAACAGGAATCACGTCCAGACTGGGATGAGAAAAAATGCACGTAACAGGGATCACATCCAGAGGGGGAACATATTTTATGTTTTTTCAAGCGCCTTGGATCTGAAACGAGTACATAGCAGTCCGATGAGCAGGGCCATAAGAAAATGCATGTAACAGGAATCACGTCAAGAGCAGGATGCTTTTTTTTTCTGTTTCTTTTTATGATTTGGATTCTATTGCAAACGGGCCCAGTGCCCAAGGCTTACGTAAAAAAGGTCCGGCGTTCTCAGGGGCCAACTGGCCTGTACCCGCTCCCCAGGCAGAGCCTCGCCCCGTGAGTCGTTTTCGAATGGTCGTTTTAGACTGACACCTTGACTTTTTCCTAATTAACCCTGCACGTGGTTGCAGTTGTATTCCCAGATTCGGCTGCGAGTACACCCTAAGCTTGTGTGGGTGCATCCTAATTAGCTCTGGAGTCTGGAGGTGATTGCACTCAGATTCACAGGCCCTGCTGTGAGCAGACCCTAAGCTGGTGTGGGTGCACAGTTTGTTGCAGCTCAAGCTTGCTGGCATCTCATGTGTTTGAACACAAGTCCACAGTAACAATATGGACCAGCACGTCGACCAAATACATTTGGATGCGTCCACCATTCTGAATGTATCAGACCTCGACGAGGTCCAAATGCATTTGGTATGCTGTGTACTGGACAGTGCATTGTCAGTGGCATTTGAGTTCACAGCTGTCTACCGACAGTTGCTGGGTGTACAACCAGCCACATGGCGACAGTTTTTGTTTTTCTTTTTAATTAAAAGAAGGAAGACGGCCTTGAGGTCATTCAGGAATTCCGTTCATGCAGTTCCATCGGGATTCAAACTCGGGCCTGCATTTCAGCAGCTTGTGGGTGGACAAACTGACCTGGGCCCATTGTTGTGTTTACCCACGGGAAATCGGTGCCCGATTCCCATTCGAACACAGCAAGCGGGAAAATTGCAGGTGTCTTTGCCCACGGCTGTTGGCTGAGAGAGAGAGAGAGAGAGAGAGAGAGAGGGAGAGAGAGATGATTGGGGTGTGTTAGGGATATGTAGACAATGGAGGCTTATGTGAGGCATGCTGTTGTTATGTTATATGTGTGCAGACACTGCGGGGGAGAGAGAGAGAGAGAGAGAGAGAGAGAGAGAGAGAGAGAGAGAGATCATTGGGGTGTGTTAGGGATGCATACGACAATGAATGAAGTCTCATGTGAGGTGTGTTGTTGTAATGTCATACGTGTGCAGACACTGCAGACAACCCCCGCCCAGTGCTAGATGCATGGGGAAGGCAGCGGTATCCAGATTCTAAAGATCTTTCAGCTGTCCTACGATGTGGGGATCCTTCCTTCCTGGACTTTTTGGAGGGGTGCATGAAGTGGGACAGCAGGGAGCGATGGACCCCAGAGGAGGCCCTGCAGCACCAGTGGGTACTTGAGGTAAACATGTTCACAACTGCACGCAGGCGTTTATTGCCATTTGGGGGAGTGACTTGATGGATGAATGCTATTACATTGGATTTCATTATCCTTTTTGGCCCCTCAAGTTTGTTCCACTGACTCTCTTCATGTGCGGCTATATTGTGAAGAATCGGACCACGTTCGGTTAACGGGTAAAAGGCAGGGAAGCGTGATGGAGGACGAGGTAGGGAGAGAATTGTTTCCATCACAGCAGGTTTTATCTCCCTATTGTGTGAGTCCATAACTCTGGGTTGGAAGTGACAGGGGGTTCCTGATGATGGGGCCAAGTGTGCAGAGAAGTGTTTATCTACGTTTTATCTTGATGTGGAAGTGCACACTGGATGATGAAAGGTTTCCTTGCCTTCTTGTAGTTCCAAACAGAGTTGGGTAATTAGGTGACTTCTTTTCACAATATTTCACACACAACCCTGGTCAGGTCATTGACTTGCTAGGGAGCGTTCTGCTATTGTTTGTTGGATTTTCTCCGGAGCTGTGCACGGAGAAAACGGAAAAAGAAAAGGATTGGAACTGGGGTTGTTTGTTGATGCCGTTTCCGCACTATGTCCCAGCAAGCGACTGTCTCAGCGTTCACGTGGTGGGCCAGTTGCATCGTGTTCGATGGATAGAAGGGTATGGATACCCAAGCGCGGTTTTGTCGTCGAGGTCTCCTTCATCAGAAGGGTGTTTGAATCAGGAGACCCTGTTAGTTTTTCTCACGACTTGCAGTGGGATTAGAGACGATGGTTCTCTACCTTCCTCTTCTGTCTGCCAGTAGCTGGGGCTGGTAAAGTATAAGTGGGGTCAGTTGTGGAAGGCGTCAAGAGCTTCCAGATGCCACATAGTACTTCTGTCATCCTTAGCTGTCACCATCAGCTTTCTATGTGTATAAGAGAAGAACCTGAGGAGTATCTGGATGCCTTGTACATCATCAGCTTTCTATGGAAGTGGTCTCTGTATCTGGTCATCGTTGCATGGACAGGTGGTTCTTGTTCTTGCTCTGTCCTGTATCGAAGGAGTAGTCACCTTAGGGTCACAAGAGCTTTTCAGTGCCCGTGCTTAGGAAGCATGTTTCTGTCTGTGGATTTGGCCAGGTCCTGTGGTCATCCGTGAAATGTAGAGTCGGGTTGGGGCGCAACTCTCATGATCTCCGTTCTCTCTCTCGTCTGTTTCTGAGCGTAAAATTACGGTCCGAAGACTCTGAACGGAGAATTCGTGATTACTGTCTGCAGACTCTGCACTCGTGTGATGTCGTTATGGGAATTCTGGTGATGAGGATTATCACTCCCCGTCGCCCCGATGTCTAACAAGTGGATTCGGCAACCTACTCTAGCATTGCAGTCAGCAGATGTGCAGGTGTTAGTTACCTTGTTCTCAAGACATCTGAGCGCAAGCACCACAGCACTAAGATTCTTGCCACTTCATCGCACATTTGACCGCGATTCTCCGTACAGTGGGGGAGTGTGTGGAGTTGTGCGCAGACAGATTTTGGAGTCGATGCATGTGTCCTTGGTTCACCAGTGAGTCACAGACAAGTGTACAGAGGATGTTCATGTCAGCCTATGATGCGCCTGCTGCTGATTGGCTGGTTGCCAATCAGTATTGTATTGGGCGTCCAGAGGCGGAGTTAGAATGAGATGTCCTTGTTACACAGAGTGTATGCCTTTGCAGGCCCACAGCAAATTTAACGACACTGAGCGCTACACACGCAAGTACACACGCAAGTTTGCATCCGTTTATTGCTGATGGTCGTCCCAGAATGTATATGCCTTTGCAGGCCCACAGCAAATTTGCGCCATCTTTCCTTGTTGCTGAGTGAAAATAGAACCGACTGCTTACCAAGTTAGTCAGTCGAGTCATTGCACGTCCTCATGCGAAACAGATAAGTTCGGTTCGCATGTAGTGAAGCGTGTGTATCCCGCCGCCTTCACCCGAATAGAATGCCCGATCATTCTCACTGCATCTGGATGCCCAGAATACAGCTAGAATGACCGGGCGTTCTATTCAGACGAAGACGGGTTTGCCTGTTGCACCTGTCAGTACCCTGTATTCCTCTAGTTAATTAGGCTGTCTGCAGTGTAGGTCTTCGCTAGCTTTGTGCGGTCCGCTTGTGGTGGCTGGAGGTGCTATTTGGATTTGGGAATGGGTGAGAAGCAGAGGATGGGAGGATGGAGGTGGTGAATGTAGGGAATGGCACAACGTGAACAAGAGCTCGCAGAGATGGCATGCCGTGACTGAGTAGGCTGTCATTTTGCTCTGGCGTAAGTTTGTAGCACTGAGATGCTCGGCGTCCAGGAAGTGTTTTGCCTGCCTGGTGCAAAGACGGGATGCTGTTTTCAGTGAAAGTGCAAGCAATCGAAGATAAGACCATCTAGCACTCAAGAAGTCTGCACACGAGGTCCTGCCTACGACCGTCGCACTGCCTGTGGCCGATCTGCCGCACTGCGAGAGCAGTATGACATGAGCCTGATACCATGACTGCTTGATGAATTCTCGAGGCATTAAACGAGGGTCTCTCACCTGAAGGACACGTTGGCGGCAGCGGGATGCAAGCGAATAATCGAAGGAAGCTGCATGCAAATCTATAATCGAAGGAAGCAATGTGTTGTGTTGTGGACGAAGAGAGAAACTTTCTGCATGCCGAGAGCAGTGCCCATGTTGAATGAAACACTATCAGGGCGAGCATGGCACCACGCGGAGACGAGGGAGATGGATCGGTCAAAAGATAGGTGCTGTTTTCTCATCGTGCATTTGAAGTACTTCGCTCAAGATTCGCTCTAAATTGGCAGGTGAGCTGAATGACGAACGACGATGCCAGTAGTCAGACTGTCAGAGTCCATTCATTGCCTGCGTAGCCTGAATGCATGTGAGGGTTCCGCATGACGACGTGGAGCCTAATGCGTATTGCTGGTTCGTCCAAGTTATTCATACTATCAAACGTCGTTGGCCTCGGTATCACGAATGCATGTTCGAGCACCACGCCCAGCTGTGGAGCCCCAATGTTTACCAGTGGTTGAAGCTGGTATGAAATATGTCCAACAGGGAAGGCAAGCACTTGTCAGGCATGTTCGGACAGTCTTGCCGCTCGCTGCATTCATTCGGATCCTTGGTCGTCCCTCAGAAAAAGGGAAGTCATTGTCTATGTTAGCATGAGTGTGTGTGCAAGCACCACACCAAGCTGTCTGTGGAGCCCCGATGGTCATCGGTGGTTGAAGCGGGTTTGAAAGGTGTCCGACAGTGAACACGAGTGCAACGTTCACTCCCAGTCGGACTGTCTCGTGGCTCGCTACGTTCATTCTGGTCCTTGGTTGTTTCTGGTGGCTTGAAAGTTTCTTTGTGCGGAACTGGATAGGTAATCGCCCTGTGCATGTATGTCATACCGACGCTCCTGAGAGCTTTGAGCATTGAGAATTATCGCTGCGGAATGGCAATGAAGGGTGTATCTTCACTGCAGGGTAGGATCGGTCGAGTCGAATGTGTTGTGTTCACGCACATGTATGGCGGAGATGCCGTCGTTGGTGAATCTATCCAGCTAGGTTTTGTAATACTTCGTTCATCATTCAACGTGGTGGCGAAGAGGCATGAAGACCTTTTGGCGTGTCACCTGCTGTTGGGAAGGCACACGTGCCCGTGCCTGGTTCACGCTCGACCCTCCGTGTTGGGCTCTTGTAGTCAGGTGGATATGAACTCACCCTTAGATTCACACTGTAGAAAGACAGTGCAACTAATCTTGGGGTAAATCCTGAACTTGTTTTCTGCGTGATGGTACTCGAGGACATAGGAAACTCACCTTGTCCACAGATATAGGTGCTTTGAATCTTTCCCTGCAAAACCAAATTGCTGGAAAAGCAATCCTGATCCGGTCTGAAGCGTGTGCGGGCGGTGGGGAATTTATTTCAGTAGTGATGCAGAGCAAAGCTGCCATGGCGCTTGGGACAGGCGCAGCTGCATAGGTGTGTGTGTTGGTGTGTCTGGGCTGTGGAAGTGTAGGTCGTGTACGAAAGAAAGTGACGAGTAGATGACAGAAGCAGCGCGCACTGTTTTAGTTTTGTAAGATGGCCAGCGTACCGCGGCAATGCGCCCTGCAATCAGTGCAGGTGAGTACAGCTTGTCATGTTCAGGGTACCAGAGATGGTATTGAGCATGAGGAATATGTAGCCACGGCGGGCGCTTTGGGAGGAATCGGCGTCATCAATGGGCGTGGAGGATTTTTGGGCAGAGGCCTGATACGGCTGTGTTTTCTCGATTTATGCATGTCATCCTTGCGCAGGGGCCATGCTAATCTTCTCTGTGTCGTTCCAATTTTAACGGATGTCACAAAGGACGATACGGCTGTGTTTTAGGTATCTTACTTGTGGGGAAGAGCTGGTTGCAGGGCAAGGGAAGTGCACAGCGGTGCCTGGATCGGTTTTGTGAAGATGATCTTATATCTGAGAACCGACCCACAACGTCGAACACGTTTCACGTGGTACATCCTTGCATTGGGTGCGCACTTGTTGGTGGTGGCCAGCTTGGTCGGGTTCGTGTTCACTTTCTTTGAGTCCTGGGTTGTGAATCTTGTGATCTTAAGTGCCAATCGCAAAAAAAAAGCATTTGCATTTTCTTACGTAGGATGTAAATGGTGGCTGTCAACTGAAAAAAAAAAACAACAAACGAGTTGTGGAAGGTTAAACTGACTATTGAAGAAAAAAATTCGAAAATTTTTCAAAACAATAAAAAATTATGTTCTGTTACTCAGACTCACTCTCCTGTATGTTTTGCGCAAGGTTGAAAGCTGCGGATGTTTTTTTGCTGCGTGTTCCCCTCCTCTCTATCTGCTTTATAACAGAATCGGTTTTGTGTTTTTTTAAGTTTGGCATGTAGGATGTGAAATGGTTAAGTATCCTGGAAGATGTGAAATCGTCCAGGTTTCTCTGGTGCTCCCTGTCGGAGGAATTATTTAAACGGGGGGTTTGGTCGCCACATTACTCATGCACGCCAACGCACTGACGATGGTTCTCCAAATTTTTACTCCGTAGGGCCATAGGCAAGGAAAGCAGTGCAGCTGCAGCGCGTACTTTGGAACACACGTTCAGACGCTGTTCTTTGAGTATGGGGTACTGTTGACGGAATGTGCGTCAGCACAAGCAAAAAAATATAAAAAACACTGCAAATGATATGTACGGGGACGTTAGGCGAAGGCAAACAGTGCGGCGTAGTATGGAACACTCGTTCAAACGTCGATTTCTTTGATTATGGGGTACTGTTGAGTGAATGTGCGTCAACAAAGAACAAAAAAAAAAAAAAAAAAAAAAAAAAACTGCAAACGATGTAGGGAGACGAAAACCTTGGGCTTCTGGGGTGCATACACAAGCGACTGACTGCCTTGGGTTGTCCTCAGTTTTAGGAGTAGTGATAGAAACTCGGTGGAGGATCTTAAGAAAGTTGTGTCAACGGTATAATAGCAAGACGATGGTCTTGATCTAGTGGGAGGGTGCACACATACAAGTTCCTTATAGGCCCAGCTGCCTGTCATGATATGTGGGGAAAAAGAGGTAATATAATAATATTATACTAATATAAATTATATAATAATATAGTACTAATATAGTAATATGGGCAAGAATGTACTGCTGTTTGTTTGATGGGTTTTTTTTTTTTTTTTTTTTGCCTGGAGAAAAATGTGTGAATGTACTGGTATGCTTCATGAAGGATGAATTCTTTGGTGGTTGAGCTCACGGCTCATGCGGTATGTATGGCTTGCGTGTGTCGCTGCAGGGAATGGCGCGGTCGTCAGTACAGAACACCCAGTCGTTGCGCCTGCGCAAAGCTCCATATGATCTGTCAGCAAGGGGATCCTGCTCCTCCAAATACTTCATGTCGGACACTCGAGACGACGTTGAAGGCCGGCCGCATCACGGACGAATCATCCGCCTGTGAAGGCCTCGTCGCAGTCTGCATCTTCTTTGTACAAATCCTCTCTGTGAAGGAGGTGCCAGGCGTGCATGCTTGGGCTTTCTCTTTCAGTCTCTGTTGATGCTCATGAAAGTTTTAATGTTCTCGTGACAACTAGTATACGAATCAAAGAAATATTCCCACGGTTTACGTGGTGATAGTGGTAGAAACGGCGTATACGAACGTCGTGTATACATAGTATACAGTAGTGTCTCACAATTCTTAGAACTTCCGATATGGTGTGAGGGTGTTCATAACCCTCTCTTCGTCGATCATACCAACATCTCCATCCTTGTTCCCCTCCTCCCTCCTCCCCCGCTCCCCCCCCTCTTCCCCCCCTCATCGATCCTTGTTATGTCTCCGCCTCCAGTATCTGTGTGTCTGGCATCTCTGTTCTTGTTGGTGCTATCACTGGGCTGTAGTAGGGTATTTAGTCGGCTCATGGATTGGGAGGATGGGCTTGTAGTAGGGTTGGGTGCACGGGTGGGATTTTAATGATTTGGACGCAGGGAAGGGGGAGCAAGCATAACTCACAGCTAGGAAATGGAAACGAGTTATCTGACCCCTTTTAATGCCTGCCTACATACATGCAGACTACCCTCTCTACCGCTGAATAGACGAGTGTTGGCTACTGATGAGCTAACTGAGAGGCTGGCGTTAGGGTTCTCGCCAAGATAACCAAGCATAGGTCTGTTGGTGCTGCAAGAAACTGTTCTAGAGGTGGGTAGGTGTTGTTTTAACCTCTTATATTTTTTTGTAAGTGGTGAGCTTAATGCGAGACTAACATCGGGTTGGCTAATAAGGTCACCAAGGCATACTGTTGTAACATTTGCCATTGTCCCGTTCCTTCCTCTATCGGAAACCTTTCCCTGCTGCCCCTCCCCCTCCCGGGCCTCCCCCTCCCCCTCCCCCTAACCCCTGGCCGCCCCGGCCCAACTTCCCTCCATCCTATCGCCTGTTGACTGGAGTGTGCGCTGAGGTTTCTTTACAATTGAATTGTGAGACCGACTGGCTTTGTAGGTAGAAGTAGGAGGAGGAAGTGGGCAAATTGGTGTGACAAGTGTGGCATATTTGTTGCTCTAATTCTTTTGAGCATCGTATAACTTGTGAGTGGCGAATCCCCAGTTGATTTGTTGCAGGCGTACCTCTGTCCGAGGTAGGTCTGACTCTGTACCTCTGTCCGAGGTAGGTCTGACTCTGTACCTATGTGATTTTTTTTCAGCTGAAGGGGTGTTGAGCCGAAGTCTGGTCTCTCTGCTCTCAGTGCTCGCGGCCATGGCGGAGGTCAGTGGCTCGAACTCGGTAAACGACATCGACATGAATGATGTTGACTGCAGGAGGGTGTGTTGGCCGAGTTCGTGCTTTTTGTTTCTTTGATAAACATGCCAGACGTGTTTTCTTGTGAAAAAACTTATTTTTCGCCATCCTTTTCTTCCCAGGTTTCCCTGTTAAGCTCCTCGGCTCCCCATCGAGAAGACTCTGCGGCGAGATTGTTTGAGTTCTCAGAGTGCGCTTCCTAGCGTTTCTTCGAAGCGAGGAGAGCCTTTGCCGGGTTGCCAGATGTAAGGTAGCCTCCTCTCTGCACAGGTAAGAAGCCCCCACCCACCACCCTCCTCTGATGCACTGCCCTCAACTTGAGATTGAGACATCAAGCTTACAAATTGGCACCTTTGGTCAGGTCCCTTTCTTGTCCCAGAAAAGGATGTCCCAAGGTCCCTTTCTTGTCCCAGAAAAGGATGTCCCAAGGTCCCTTTCTTGTCCCAGAAAAGGATGTCCCAAGGTCCCTCTCTTGTCCGAGAACTGGATGTCCCAGACGTAAACCATATGCATGAAGGAGTCCTCGTCGGTATTAACTTGGAAGTTTGAACTGGTATGGGTCTATTGAGTCCTTGTCGGTTTCCCGTTTCTTGTCGCTGTTGGCGTCTACTTCGACGACCGTTGTGACGAAGTGTGCACACTGCACACCTACGAACGATCGATGATCGAGAAAGCTGGAGTGAGTACAGTCTGGATTCTTTTTTTTTTTTTTTTTTTTAAACAGGGCCTTATGGTCCTGGCTCCGTTCTATTCTGGAGTGAGTACGGTCTGGATTCTCTGTCATGTTCATGTGCAAGTTGCGGTAGGGAGAGTGTAGGCCAAGGACCTCCTTCTGTAAATTACTGATCGCAGTTTTTTCGTTCTTGGTCCTTGCTCTTCCGGCACGTATGGCGTGTCCTTGTAGGAGCGCAGCCTGAAGCTTCGGTCCTGCTTTGCCTTGTCTGTTCCTTTTCCTTTTGTCTTCCATCTCTGTCTGATGATGAGAGTTTGAAATTTGGACTTGTGATCTTTTCGTGTTATGATAGGAAGGCGGTTGGTGATAGAGTCTGTGGAGTAGAAGTTCCGCTGTGAAGTGTGGCGTTCTTCTTGCCGGAGGGAGAGTGCGCGCATAATTCACACATCCCTCTGTTACGCGGAGGGGCCGATCGCGTGTTAACAGTATGAAATAAGTCCACTTCCATGTTGGAGGAATTTTACACGTATCTCAACGCCGTTAGTAGCGATATCGATAAAAAAAAAAAGATAGTTTACCAATTAGTAGTGTGCACTCGTGCTCATCGATGCGTCAAGAATCGGTGTTTAATAATCGAGTCTACTTCCAACGTACCTCGAGTATACGGACGACTGGTTGCATGTAGTGGGAGTTTACTCGTTACGGCATCTAGCTTTGGTGCATTGGCTGGCAACGAGTCGTTAAGGTCGTTCGTCGTTGCGGGATCTTTGCAATGCGTCACTGACACTTTTATTAAAAGTTTTTATGTTCAATAAGATTTATTAAGGAGTGCAGTTGTGGAACGGTTCAGTCGACGGGACGGTACTGCCTCAGAGTCGTCGTTAGCAACGCTGTCAGTCTTTTTTTTTATGTTTCTGGAATCGCTTCCGTGATATTCTACGTCGTCTCCTCTCAGGGGTAGCAGAGATTGATTGTTCCTCCAGCACCTGTCTGTTTCCTATCACCGGTATATTAGGCTCTGATGGGCCGAAAACAGTAGAGCTGTGGGTTGTGTGGAGTTTTTGATGCCCTTGGGTCACTAGGTGGAGGGGACTTGTTAAAGGACACGTGTCAGAGTGAGCTTTCATGTCTCGTACGTGATTGTGAACGCATGGGTGGGCAGTTATAGGGTAAAAGGTGTCTGCGCTCGTACAGCTTGCAGATTTATTTTCAAATAAATGTCTGCCCACTCTATGCTCTGTGTACAGAATGTGATCTTCTCAAAAGCTATGACAGCTTGTACTAGGACTTGTGCTGGTCCCCACTCCTGCCAGCAGACCCCCCTGACGAGTTCCGGGAAAAAAAAAAAAAGAAAAAAAAAAAAAGAAAAAAAAAAAAGGAAGGACTTATGCTAGTCCTCGACTGCTTGCTTGTGTGTGGTTATTTGTGTAGATATAAGGTGTCTAGGCTGCTTGCTTCCCTTGTTTATGTGGGTGGTTCCTTGCGTATATGTCTCTGGAGTAGACTACCAGCAGGGCCGCCCGGGTCACCTTGTTTGCCCGGGCTGGCCGGCCATGAAGGACGATAGATTCATAGAAGGTTCCAGCAACAAAAAAAAAAAAAAAAGTAAACTGAACAACATTTGCCTCACTTGCCCGGCCGGGCCAAAAAGATTATAAAAAAAAATGTAAAAATAATCAAATTATGAAAATAATAAAATATATATTAATTTAAATTTTTATTTTAAATGTGGTAAAGAATTTCGATGTGACCCTGAGGCAAAAGTTGTTCCGTTTATTTTTATGCATAACACAGTTTTTTTTCCGGATTTTTTCGGTTTTTTTTTTTTTTTTTTTTAATTGGATCTTCCCTGGTCCTTGCACGGCCAGGCCGCCCGGGAAAATAGGGTGACCCGGGCGGCGCGGCTGGTAGCCTAGAAAAAAACCCAAAAGAACCCAAAGAAACTATGTTGTGCAGAGAAGGAAACTGAACAAGTTTTGCCCCAGGGTCGCATCGAAATTCTTTACCAAATTTAAAAATATGAAAAATCCGTTTGATGATATATATATATACTCCGACGCTACAGTTTGTCACAGCCCCTCGTTTGTTGTCCTCTTCTCCCTCTTGTCCCTCTCTGCCGACGGTTTACTGGGAAGTCCTGTTTGATGATAAACCGTAGGCAGAGAGGGAGAAGAGGACAACAAACATGTATATTTTTTGGGCCTGGTCGGGCAAGTGGTCACAGGGCACTCTGCTTTGTTTCTACCGTCTTCCCCCGAACACAACGCACCCTTATTTTCGATGTATCTGGCCGGAAATATAGCTTGTGTACATTCATTTTTAGGGTGCGTTATGTTCGGGGGAAGATCGTAGTTAAAATAACAATTTCTTTATTGTTATTTTATTTTTTTGGGGGGCTGGGCAAGTGGTCCTGGGTCACTCGGGTAGCCTAATCTCTGGGCTCATACTGCCTCCAGATTGTAGTATGTCCACTATAGGATTCAAACTTTTCAAAGTCGTAATACCTTGTGGGACTTGTGACAGTCCTCGACTGCTCGCTTTCTTTCTCACTGTGTGCGCTGCCTTGCGTCCTAATGTTCTTCCTTTGCCTTCTTCCGTTCTGCCCCTTCACTTTGTGTTCTTTCTGCCATTTTGTGTGTATGTGAGTTTATGTGCTCTTGGATGAATCTCTCTCTCTCTCGCCCCCCCACCCCCTCCTCTCTCCTCTCCTCTGCTTCCTTCCCCTGTGGTAAGATCTCCACCCTGGATTCTTTTTTGAGAGGTTCACAATAGAGCTTTCCCATCTCTCTCTCTCTCCCTCTCCCTCTCTCTCTCTCTCTCTCTCTCTCTCTCTCTCTCTCTCTCTC